GAGCACAATGTACCAATGTGCTGGAAGGAAGCAGTACCATTTAGTAAGTGAATATTTTTTTTTTTTTTTAAGTCAGTTCACACAAAAGTAAATGTTGTATAAATACAGAATTGCATCATTTACAAAAAATAAGTTGCAGCTATACTGTTAATTTTTTAAAGTTATAAATTATGTAAAGTATGAATAAATTACTTCAAATATAAGTCAATGATTAACAGGGTTGTAGCTGTAGAAAAATATGGTGTTTGGTAGACATTTTAAGATGGGGGGGGGGGGTGGCGGTAGGTGTTAACATTAATAAACTTTAAATAAGATTGGATTTTGAGGAAGGAAAGGTGGGTTAATAAGGGTGGGTGGAGGGCCATGGAATTAGCTTTAGACTTGGTGGAAAACTTCAATGCTGGGTGGCTCTGTCACCATAACTACATCCCTCGATTACAACTTACTTTTGGTAAGTTCCCTTCCCTTTGAAGAACAAATACTTTATTCATTATTGTTGAACCAGATGAAATTTTTTGAGTATGTAAAGTATGTTGATTTTTAATACTAAATTGCATATTACAGGTGGTATTGGCCAGGCTTTGCACCGTCTGCTTGTTGTACAGGCATTCCGACCTGATCGCCTGCTCTCAGCCTGCCAGATATTCATCAACAGTGTCTTCGGAGATCAGTTCCTCCACTCATCCGAACAGGACATCGACTTGGCTGCTGTCATTGAAAATGATGTACGTCTAAATAAGCGGTTTTGGCACAGTAGGAACTGTTAGGTTTCCCAAGCTGGAGGTCGGGGTTTCAATCCCTTGCTGTGCACTTTGCTTCTGTTCTTAAGCAATACACTTTATCTGCATTGCTCCTCCCTACCCAGGAGTATATGGGTACCTGGTAGGGTTGCTTGCTACTGCTGCCAATATGGCAGTAAGCATGTGGAACCAATGACCATGGGAAAACAAAGCCCTTCGTAACCTAAAGGAATAGTGCTACATAAATACCAAGTAACAGATAAATATTATATTAATGTGATATAATTCAATGATGATTCAGCAAAATAACATGCAGATCCAACACTCACATTATATTTTCCTGTTTTATTTTATGTACAAATTCTGCTGTTTTGTAGCAAGGAATATTAACATACATTCATTGTCCCATGAATTTTAAGTCCCCTCTATGATTGCATTCCATGTTTTCAGTTTTTTTAAAACCATAATTTCTGATCAGTAATTTCAGAGCCCTTAAAAAATTATAATTAAATATATTTGAAAGCCATCTTTATACATTTGACAAGACCGAACAACTTTTTCTTTCAGTGTAAAGCCTCAACACCAATTCTGATGTGCTCGGTCACTGGTTATGATGCCAGCGGCCGTGTTGATGACATTGCGGCTGAGCTCAGCAAGGGTATAACATCAATTGCTATTGGGTCAGCAGAAGGCTTTAACCAGGCAGATAGAGCTATCAACTCAGCCTCCAAGACTGGAAGGTAATGGGCCTAGATTTATTTTAATATACTTTTTCCATATTATGTATGTACAATTGCCAACTCTAGCGCATAATGCGCCAGTTTCATGCATGAACATCCAGTTTTTACGTCTCGGTCTATGTTTTATTATCTCACGCATCATACATATTTTATAAAACATAAAATGTATAACCAAATTATACTCTAAAATTCATAAAAGTGAAGTGACTTAAAAATGTTATACAGGCCATTTAAATTTCTTTTCTGAAATCTTCTTCTTTTTTTTTTTTCTTTTCTTTTCACTTTGTGATTTTTTACTTTGAGGGTGCTATATATAATTTTTTTTTTGTCTGACGTATCAGATGCCAACAAAGTTGACAGGTATATGTATGTGAATAATATGTATGCAAATAATATGTATGCAAATATCAATTAAATGAAGTAACAATCATTGAAATAAGGAGATTAGAGATTAAGAATTTTTTCTACATCATATTCATAATTTTCCTTTATTATTTATTAGATGGGTGATGTTGAAGAATGTTCATCTTGCTCCACAATGGCTGGTAACATTGGAAAAGAAGCTTCATAGCATCACCCCTCATCCGAATTTCCGTCTCTTCCTCACCATGGAGATTAACCCGAAGGTTCCTGTCAATCTGCTCCGTGCAGGTCGAGTTTTCGTGTTTGAACCTCCTCCGGGTTTGAAAGCCAACTTGTTGAGAACATTCAGCACTGTGCCTGCCTCCCGTATGAACAAGGTTAGTATCAAGGTAATTCATGTATTCTTGTTTAGATTTGCAGATTATTTTCTTTTCTTTCAATGATTTTATTTTTGTTTTTGTAGGCTCCGACTGAAAGAGCAAGGCTGTACTTCCTGCTCTCGTGGTTCCATGGTATTATCCAGGAGCGTTTGGTTTACTCGCCACTTGGCTGGTCGAAGAAATACGAGTTTAATGAATCAGATTTGCGTTGTGCTTGTGATACACTTGACGTGTGGCTTGACCTGGCTGCTAAGGTATGTAACATACATTTTTAATTTGTATTCATGGGTCATAAAACCATTACTTTTTTTTCATATCATTTATTCAATTGTCTTCAAAGTGAAGTGACCGAGACAACACAGCACAACAGTTTATGTCATTCCTTGACAATTTGCCTCCATTGTATGTGTTAGTTTTATTAATTTTATATATTTTCTATGTTATTTAACAAGTGATCAACTAAATGTTGAAGTTAATTAAATATTGGGAAAAGGTGGATTAGTTATTGCTATCATTGGAAATCATACAGAATCAGAATTTTTCGTACCCTAGTCTAGTTTCATTGCTATATTCCAGTGCTTAGATTTTAAGTATTGACTAAAGGTCATAACAGGATTTAATTTCTTTATACATATTTTGCATATGTTATAGATTTTATTTATTGATTCATTATGAAAATCCTGTTCTGTTTTCAGGGTCGATCTAACCTTTCACCCGAGAAAGTGCCGTGGAATGCCTTCAGGACTCTGTTATCACAGTGTATCTATGGCGGCCGTATTGACAATGACTTTGATCAGGTGAGAAATGGAACTATTTTATACCAAATTGAATTGAATTGATTGGAGTGTAGTCTTTTGTCCTATTGTTAGTGTGTAGTTAGATTTATATAGCACTTTATAAAGCTAGATAATTTTCTTTAAAATGTAACAATGATTCTTTTAATTTTTATTTTAGCATTTGTTGACAGCCTTTGTCAAGTTATTTACTGTGGAGAGCTATGTGTCCTATTGTTAATGTGTAGTTAGATTTATATAGCACTTTATAAACTTCTCGTTAAAATGTAACGATGATTTTTTTAATTTTTAATGTAGCGTTTGTTGACAGCCTTTGTCAAGTTATTTACTGTGGAGAGCTATGTGTCCTATTGTTAATGTGTAGTTAGATTTATATAGCACTTTATAAACTTCTCGTTAAAATGTAACGATGATTTTTTAAATTTTTAATGTAGCGTTTGTTGACAGCCTTTGTCAACAAGTTGTTTACTGTGAAGAGCTTTGATGCCGACTTCCAATTGATCAAGGAATTTGATCAAGGCGATGGGAAAAGCTTATCAATGCCAGACGGAATAAGGTCAGGCAGCTTACTCTCATTTTAAAAGAATGCATTTAATACTGCAACTAACTGTGAAGTAGTTATGATTTTTTTTTTTTTTTGATTGGGCTCAAGGCCAAGGATATTCCTAATAGCTAACTTTTTTTAAGTGGCAAGTGATTGCTGAAATCTACAGTGATTATTAACCTACATACAAGTGTCACAATGTAAACTATCCTATTATAAAGCTAGATAAAAACAAGCCCACCCAACATTGTGCACCCCACTGCCCACCCTACTTTAACAATGGTATATTGCATTTTGGGTGGATACACATCTAGATGTGTATAAGAGACAGTGAACCTCATCCGGGTTTGAAAGCCAA